CCTGCAAGTCGTTTTCTTTCTCCTTCAATTTGATCCACGTTTTCCCCTGAGTCTGGGGATCAATGAGCAGAGGGTATCTGGTGGCCTTTGTCACAATAATGCCATTCTGAATGGACAAGTCGTCTCCAGGGAGTCCCTGCAGGCCCCACTCGCCAATCTGAAGGAGTACATGGGAGGATGGCCGATCAAAGACCAGGAATGTGAAGGTTGGCCATTGAGAGCTTATAACGTTAAATGGAAATCATTTAAACACGTGTTTACATTTGGGGGATCTTGTGGGGTAGGGGGGTTAAAAAAAAAACAAACAAACCGGCAAATATGAGCCAAGCGATGCTAAGTACGTTTAGAATCAGAAAGCAGATTTCGATATTTTGCATCTACATTTTTAATTTGTCCATGTATGTGTGGGTGGATGGTTTTGGACACATGAAGGAGGATACTGCTTGCAGAGGCTAGGAGAGAGAGTTATTTCCCCCCCAGACCTGGAGGTACAGGGGCTGATAGCCACCCAATGTGGGTACTAAGAACGGAACATGTGTCCCTTCTATTGATCTAATGGATATATCTGGGCTTGTCATCTTAGGCTGATTATATATATATGTGTGTGTGTGTGTGTAACATATACATATACATATACATATACATATACATATACATATACATATACATATACATATACATACAGAAGAGGTTGTGAAAGTAAGCCAGTGTCAGAGAAGAAGATAGCTCTCATCCCCCAGTGCTCCTCCTCTTCCTGTCCTCTGGTTCTGCCTACAAGGCTGATGCAAAAGATAATTGCACAGCTGGGGAGACCCTGGCTGGGATACACCAGTAGGAGTTCATCAGCGGTAAGCATGGTGATTTCCTTCCAAAAATGTATGTGGGATTACGTCATGGCCAATGAAATCCCCCAGAGAGCCCATGGAGCAACCAGAATCCACCTTTGCTAAATCACCCCCTAGCACCTCGGAAGACCCGGATCCCCGAGGACTATCTGGACCCACCTTGGCGCACAGTGCCCCATGTATCTACTTGTAATCCACCCCCTGAAACATTGTTTGAACCAATTTTAACCTTTAAATACAAAGCATGGGAAAACCACAGCCTTGCCTCCCTCAGCCTACTTGCAACACGGGAATTCACATCAGTTTGAATACAAACTGCCTGGAAAGTACTTGCGGCCACAGGAGCTTGGCAAGTTTGATACCAACTGACACTGGTCTCAAAATCCCACCAAGTCAGACTTGCCGCTGGTCATCGGTACCCGAGCATGTCAGGGTGTCACTGTTCCAGGTGGCTAATCTCCAGCGTCGGTTTGACTGGGTTTGTAGTTACCCGGGAGACATGCTGGGGGGGGGGGGCTGCCTGTGAAGGCCTCTGAGAGATTCCACAGAAGAGACCCACTCGTAATTCGAGTGGTGCCATCCATCCAATGACCTGGGGTCCTCCAATGAATAAAAAAAGGAGAAAGTAACGTTTACACTGGCATCCTCCTCTCTCTGCTTCCTGACTGCGAATGCAGTGTGCCCAGCCACTGAATGGCTTCCTCTGCTGTGAAGGACTTTACCCTCAAACTGTGGGCCAAAACAAATCCTTTTTTCTTTAGATTAATTTGTCACAGCAGTAAGAAAAGGAACTAATACACCATAATACCTAATATATATAACATATATATATTTACATACATAAATATATATTTACATACATAAATATCTCATATATAACATATATGTTTAATATATTATATTTATGTACATAAATATATATAATAACATATAATATATATTTACAATATATATAATATACAATGCCTTTGCCTCAAAGCTTTGAAAGAAAATGTAACAGAATTAACATTTTAAACCACAGAAAGCCATTGAAGCTGTCTTAAGTATTGGAAATAAAGTTTTCAACTATAGAAAATTAAAACAGACATTCATTGGCGTCTTGTTTATGGTAAGAATTAAAAGAAGGCTGAAACTCTGATATTGCCAGGAAGAGTCACACTTACTGTTGGAGGGTCCACCAACATCGCGATAAGATTCAGGTTTTCGGTGAAAGGGATTTTCCGCGCTTTCAACTCCAACTCCCACTGGTCTTTAAGCAAATAGTTCCTAAATATCTGATTGAAGGGGCCGAGGTAGGAGAGAAAGCCTGTGCATAGCAGAACATCGCCTACGAGTCTGTGAAGAAAAAAAAAAAAAATGCAGATGCCCTCTCCTCAGAGGGAGCCACCCGAGAAGCCACGGTGCAGGCTTGCTCTGCCATAAGGTATAATCTCTCTTTGTCCCTGGATGTGGAAAGACTGTGAAAAGGGGTGGGCGGGGTTACACTCAGGTGAGTCAGAGGAGACGCAAACAGGCGGACCATACCTTCTTCCTATGACACACTCCTGTCTTAGGAGTTCACAACCTGTCTTAGACAAACACTTTGTGTATATGTTTGCATAGTCAACGTGTGCAGGAACCTAGGTATATGAGAGCGCGCATGCGCAAACGCACGGGCTCCCGTGCTCCTGTACATAGGCCGGGCTCAACGCCAGTTGTCATTCCTCAGGTATCACCTCACCTTGTTTTGTTTGTTTGTTTGTTTTTGACAGTGTTTCTCTCTGGCTTGGAGCTCACTAGCTGACCAGATTAGGGCCCAGAGATATATTTGTCTCTTTACCCTCCTAGTTCTGGGATTCCAGATATACACTACTACGTTTGCCTTTCCACAGGTTTGCAAGGCAGGGCCTTCACTGGCTGAGTCCTCTCCGCTGCCTAATGCACATTTTCGAAATCACTGAGGGTAAACCCAGGGACTCAGATGAGCGTCAGGCAGTCCTGGTGAACTGGAACATCGCCAGATGTGCGCCCTTCCCCTACCACCCTGCTAGAGATGTGTTCAGCAGAGAGCTCTGTCCCTTTGGGGGATTCAGAGATGTGTAGATGGAGGTAGGATTAACGGTCTCAGTGTCACAGAGAGGTGGAACGGGAGTGGCTGGCTGAGAAGGAAGCCCACAAAGACTACCTACCTATTAATCTGGGCCTTGAACTCCTTACTTTGCTGGGTCCACCGGACTTTCTCTCCACTCAGCCCATCAATGAGCGTGGAGGCTGCCTGCATCTTCTTCCTGCACATGTCCGCGTCGTTGAGCAGGTCCTGCATTCAGAAATGAGAAACATCTCAGACAACATTTTAAAGCTCTCGAGCAGGGATGTGTTGAGTTTGTGGATAAAACTACCCGGAGGAATTTCTCTGCTTGCAAAATAAACTGTGGCTGGGAAAATAACACGGTGACAAATTGACACACCAATTACATTTTGATCATTCATTCGGTATACGGTGATTGGTTTGTTTGTTTGTTTGTTTAACCTTACAAAATTTCAAAGACACATGTAAGGAGGGCTGGGGATGGAGCTCAGTTGGTAGAGTGTTTGCCTAGCATGCATGAAGCCTTGGGTTTGATCTCTAGCACCACATAAAGCCAGGCTTGGTAATGAAGACTGTAACCCCGGCACCCCTTACAGATGGGGATTCAGAAGGTTCAGAGATTCAAAGTCATCTTTGGCTAGACCGAGTGGAGAAAATGGGGGCAGGGGGTGCATAGAACTCTGTCCCCAAGATGAACAATAAATTATATAAAAATTAAATGAGGCTAAAATTCAAGGAAATTTTATGAGACCCCATGATTTATGGAAGTTAAAGTAGTATTTCTATTATTAACTCTTTTCCAAAAAAAATAAAAATAAAAATGATGCTATTCTTTTCATTCATTTTTAGTCAGTATTCAGAATAATGGGTTTCACTATGGCATTTCACATGTGCATAAAATGGCGTTTTGCTTATACCCATGTCCCGGTTGTCACCCCTCCCATTTTAAGGGTTGTTTCTCCCTTAACCCCACATTTTCCTTCTGCTTTTATGTCGTTTATAAATAGACGATGATGAAGATAGGTAGATGGATGCATACATCCACACATATAAATGGGTGGATGGGTAAATATAAGATAGATGTGTATCTATATGGATGGATAGACAGATGCCTGATAGATACACAGATACAGAGATGATAGACACATAGATACGTACATTCATTTATACACATAATGGAGAATAGATATACAGATATAGATATATATCTACATGGATGGATAGCTATAGATTGATGATAGATAGATAGATAATAAATATGAATGGCTAGAAGGCAGAGATGGGTCTAGACAGATATGACTGGGTGGCAAAAGACACACAGATAGGTTCCACATATGAGAGGGAACGCATGCTATCTGAGAAACGAAAATACCTGAGGAGTTAAGTATCTGCCCTGATTTGAACATCATCTCAAGCCTACAGGTACTGGGCGATCACATGTCGAGCACGCCCGTGTTTTTATGCATAAGCCTTAAAGCTGCATTTCATTTAACCTCAGAGCCGCTGCCCGCAGAGCACCTCAGAGCCGTGCCCGCAGAGCACCTCAGAGCCGTGCCCACAGAGCGCCCCAGAGCCGTGCCCGCAGAGCACCTCAGAGCCGTGCCCGCAGAGCGCCTGTATGTCTTTTCTCCCCCTTCTTACCATTTTCTCATTCATCGCAGCGTCAAACTTGGCCTGCACTTTATCCAGCTCAGCCTGCTTCTCGTCCAGCAGCGCCTGGGCCTTCGCTAATTCCGCGTTGGCCACAGCCAAGCGCCCTTCCTGCTTGGCCAGGTTTGCCTTAGAAAGACGTGGAAACGGTTCACATGGAGTCACACGCGCCCATGAAACATTCATGATCTTAGTTCGTAAATTATCGCACAAATCACAGAATTTTTGCAGCGGGTGCTACTTCTGGGGTCATCTGTCTCAGTGTTTGCAGCTGGGGAGGCAGGCTGTCTTGGGGATATTTTATTAATTTTCCCCCTTTTAATTATTAATGGTCGCTATGGAAAACACATAAAATGCAACAATGCAAAGAAAGAATAAAAAAAACTTTGATTTTTTTTTTTTAAGACTTAAGTACTGTGTTAAGAAGGTACCGAATGGTGTTTGCTTTGGCAGCTCCTGTACTGAAATTGGAATGATACAGAGGTCACCACAGCCCCTGGGCAAGGGTGACATGCAAATCCGTGAGGTGTTCCATATTTTTAATGTAGGAAATATGGAAATAAAGTCCAGTTTCTCTTTTTTAAAAAGGTACTAAATGTCATTTCAAATTTTTTTAATTAATAGACTTTAATCATCACTGCACATAGATTTTTTAAATAAAAAAATAATTTTATGTTTTTGGGTGTTTTGCCTGCCTGCATGTCTGAGAAGAGGGTAACCAATCCCTTGGAACTGAGGTTCTGAGCCACCATGTGGGTACTGAGAATTGAACCCAGGTCCTCTGCAAGAGCAGTCGGTGCTCTTAACTGCGGAGCCAGCTCTCTGGTCTGTTGGAATGCTTTTCCAACTGGTGATAATGACTTTGAGATGTTTTACCATCTGAATGCATCTTAACTTACTAACAGTTCCCTGCACTTATACATATCTTTATCCCACTGGCTTTTAATTCTTAAAAATGATATGGTGATAAAGGCTACTGGATATGTCACCAATCTGGTCTGTGGTTTTGGTAAAGATGCTTTTTGAAATGAAGTCACTCTAACAGTAAATTTTCTTCCTTTCCTTCTTTCTTTTCTAGATCCTACATGGTAAATATCTGCTTCCTGTCAGTTTAAAATAATTCATCACTGTTACACTGCCAGAGCTTTCTGGGGTAGAAGTTCTTTAATAAATGTCTCGTTTTCTTTCTTGTGTACTTGTTGGTGTATTTATTTAGGCAGGTTCCCACTCTGTAGACCAAGCTAGCCTCAAAGTCCCAGTGATCCACCTGCCCCTGCCTCCCAGGAGCTGGGATTAAAGGTGTGCGCCACTGTGCCTGGCCCGTGTGAAGCTGGCTCAGACCCCCTAGATCTATCAAGAACCAATGGCGTGTGCCACAGTTTCAAGCCACCAGAGTGTTTCTGTTGGTTCCGATTTAATATACAAATAGATTTTCATTCCTTTTTATATTTTATTTAATCCAACACCACCTTGTTTCTTTCACAAAGCATTATTATAATTAAATTTTTGTTGTGGGTCATATTTTTTATTAATTAAAAAGAATCCTTTGCTTTTACTGGTCTTTTACCTCTGAATCTAAATTTCTAGTAAAGTTTTCATTTGGTTATCTTTCCATTTGGGGCTATATTTGCTGTTTTCCCATCATTTCCCTCTATTAAAACTTTATTTTATTTCATTCAGAATTATCTATGCAGAGCCTAAAGAGGCAGTCGTGTCTTAAAAGGCTTCTCTCGAAGACTGGCGGTAGCCTGCTTGCCCGCCCATGGTGCTTTCAGCTTGGTAGAGGTGCAGGAGTTGAGTCTGAGCCTTGAGATATGGTGAAATATTTTGTGCATCATTGCATAAAATCACCTAAGGGTGATTTTTGTCCCCTCAGACATGGGAGATACCCTGACTGTGTATAGACAACCTATATGTACGTGCATACATGGTGGGAGCTTGGCTACTGCCCGCTGCTTTGGTTGCATGTTTGAGAATGTCTACTTCCTCATTAAAAAGAAGTTTTGCTGGTGTTGAGATTTTGGACCTCAAAACACCCTCCCTCTTAAGGCCTTGTCTGCATTTCCAAGACTTCCTGGTTTCACTCCTCTTGCTGTGCGTGTGTGCGTACGTAAGTACGTACATACGTGCGTGCATTTAAATATGTGCAGGACTGACCACAGAACCACAGGAATCTACCTGTCTCTGTCCTGCAGGTGCTGAACTTACATCACACTGAGCTTTCTTTACACAGATGAAACTCAGCTCTTTATTCTTGCAAAGCAAGCTTTTATACAGGTTGAGCTATCTCCCAACCCCCTGCTTCTCTCCTTTCATAAGCAACTTTGCTAATGGATTTTAGACTTTAAATCAGGTCTTCACTCAGTGCCGGAAATCAGGGACATTTCTAGGTGCTGACCCGAACTTCTGTAAGCTTAGTTTGGAATGCCGCGAGCAACCTGAGTCCCTAGCCTCTGCACTTTCAAAGAAATGCCTGCCTTTATGGCAGCCTGATGGTTATTCTGAAAAATCTAATTTCCTGTTGACGTGAACAAGTTACTTTTGGTTGTCTGCATCGCCAAGAAGCGTGCACCAGATATAAAAAAGGAAAAAGAAGAGGAACTTTATAAGGCCACAAAAATGAAAAATAGGCAGAGTGGTGTACGACTTTAGCTCCCGTGGGATGGATCCAGGTAGGAAACAGGGGCAGACAGATTCCTGTAGATCAGTATGGTCTACAGAACTAGTTCCATGCCATCCTGGGCTATACATTATAAAAATAAATGAATAAATACTAAAATTGAAACATGGTTACCCATGTCCCTCTAAATTACAGACTGTCTGCTAATAGTAATTTTTTTGTTTTAAAGAGTAGGTATAGTCTATTCTCTCCTACCACGTGGGGCATATATTTATTATATTTTTTAATTAATTAATTAATTAATTAATTTACTTCACATCCCAGCTACAGTTGCCCCTCCCTCCTCTCCTCCCAGTCCCCCTGCCCCAACCTCCCCTCCTCTTCCCCCTCCTCCCTTTTCTCTTCAGAAAAGGGGAGGCTTCCCATGGGTATGTACCAACCAGCCTTGGCTGGTTGCAGGAAGACTAGGTACATGTCTGCTTTTTTTTTAGACTAAGCATTCCAGCAGAGGGAAAGAGTCCCCAGTCAGGCAACAGAGTCAGAGACAGCCCCTGCTCTCACTATTAGGAGCCCCACATGAAGACCAGGCTGCACAACCGGCTAACACAAATTCTTACGATTGATTTTACCAAGCACTGATTTATGGGGGAGAGGGAAATTTACCTTCAGGGGCAACACCTCCCTGTTGATGCCGTAAAATATTGCCATAGCAAGTGTCCAGGACAGCAGCCCAGCCACATTGCCACAGACTTTTTTGGCACTTTCAAAAGTGTAGTCGTCCATGTTAAAATATGGCTGCAGTAATTCGACTGTCTCTTCGTTGATGGTGTCCTTGGGGAACTGCTGCAGGTTAAACAGGAACCCCGTGGCGCTCATCAGCTGGAAAGACAGCATGGCAATCTCTCAGGTCTGGGGGAAGAGAAACCCTTCCTTCCTGCACTGGTTTGGACTTATTAGCCATGGTAGTTTGAATCAAAATGGCCCCTATGGGTTCCTATATTCAAACGCTCGGTCCTAAGTTGATGGAACTGTTTGGGAAGGATTAGGAGGTGTGGCCTTGTCAGAAGAGGTGAGAAACTGGGTTTTGGTCTCTGAGGTTTCATGAGGCAATGTCATTCCCAATTAATCTCTGCCTCGTGGCCTTGTCTCAAGATGTAAGCTCTCAGCTGCTGCCCCAGGGCCATGCATGCCTGCCTGCTACCCATCAATTAAGGCCCGAAAACAAAACAGTGAACCAACAGGAGCCTTTTCTTTTTATAAATTTATTATGTCAGGGACTGTGCGGCAGTGGTGGGGGGAAGACCCGAATATATCATGACGTTTGAGGTGAACTCTTGAGTACGTGGTCGTTGGTGAACAACTGACAGCTAGTCTGGCTGACCCTTCATGTCCTGAGATACCTGATGCACCTCGCAAGACTTCAAAGTTATTTTTCTTACCTTTAACGACTCTCCCCATGATGGCTTGCAGCAGGGCTTTTCTGGGTCCATGGTGACGGGGTCTATTTTCTTTTGGAACAGCAGCAGGACGCAGTCCATGATTCTCATAATGAGATGTGGTGGTTTGGCAAGCTTCCTGACCGTCGCAATGTCGTTTGGTTTGATGGTCTGCAGTTGGGAACAGGAATCACTATAAAAAAACTCTTTTCCTGAGTGGTATTAGTAGACGTAGGTGTGGAAACCTATTATCTTTAAATGACTAAAGCAGAAAATAATCAAAGCGCATCTCATCTTCCAATTCCTGTCATCATCACCTCAGGGTGAATCAAATCCTATGGTTTCTGCATAATGGCTTATGATGGTTTGTATAGGCTTGGCCTAGGGAGTGGCACTATTAGGAGGTGTGGCCTTGTTGGGGTGGGCGTGGCCTTGTTGGAGTGGGTGTGGCCTTGATAGAATGGGTGTGGCCTTGATAGAATGGGTGTGGCCTTGATAGAATGGGTGTGGCCTTGATGGAGTAGGTGTGTCACTGTGGGTGTGGGCTTAAGACTCTCATCCTAGCTGCCTGGAAGCCAGTATTCTGCTAGCAGCCTTCAGATGAAGATGTAGAACTCTCAGATCCTCCTGCACTATGCCTGCCTGCATGCTGCCATGTTCCCACCTTGGTGATAATAGACTCAACCTCTGAACCTGTAAGCCAGCCCTAACTGAATGTTGTCCTTTATAAGAGTTGCCTCGGTCACGGTGTCTGTCCACAGCAGTAAAACCCTAACTAAGACATGACTCCTTCATGGTTAGGCTCAGATTTCTGTTTATTTGACTTTACTCTTGTTCAATTGCCCCTTCGCTTTGACTGACTTAAAGTGTCACCATCACATGTGGCCCACCGCCCAGATCTCAGCATGTAACATTTAGATAGCTTGCATCATCAAAACAGTGTACAGATATTAAGAAGGGAGACAGGGATGAGGGGATGGCTCCATTGGTGAAGTGATTTCTATGCCAAGCATGAGGCCCCGAGTCTTAATCTTAAGCACCCACATTAAAGCCAAGTGTGGTGGCCTGCGCCTGTACTCCTAGCACTGGGTGACAAAGACAGGAGGATCCCAGGGGCCTGTTGGCCAGCTAATATAACTGAACCAGCTCCAGGTTCATTGGGAGACCCTGTTTAAAAAAAAAAAGATAAGAGAGTGACAGAGTATGACACTTGATGTCAAATTCTGGTCTCCATACACATGTGCATGTATATCTGCATATACCTGCGCATGCATAGGTATGTAAACACAAATATGGACATGTTCATACTACATACATGCACAAAAAATTATCTTAAGAAAAAGAGACAAAGCCCTGAATATCAGAAACCTTAAATTTTTTTTTAGATTTTTTATTCTTAGCGCTATCTTGTCTCTGGAAGGAGGAGAAAATCCACAGAAACGAGAGAAATTGTTACAGCGTAAGGTGTATGAAAATATGCTTAGG